TCGAGTCCAACCATACCAAAATTACTCAAATCTGATACCAAAATCTCGATCAAAACCTCAAAGGTCGGCCTAAGAACTTCCCTCCATTTCCCCCCAATTTTTCACCCCAAATCACTAATTTAATGATGAATCAAAGGCATAATCATGAAAATTAACCAAAACTAGATAAGAATCACTTACCCCCAATCAATCACTTAAAAATCTCTACAAGAATTGCCACCCACCGAGCTCCCAAAATCAAATTTGTTTTATGAACTCAAACCCTCGTTTTTTGAAATATTTAAATCTGCCCAGGTCACCCTTCTTCGAGAACGCGACCTTCCTCTCGCGTTCGCGTAGCATAATTCCATCTGCTGCCCAAAGCTTTCTACGCGAACACGAGGCACCACTCGCGAACGCGATTCCTTGCTGACCCCATGCTTCGCGAACGCGATCTCCCTTACACGAACGCGTAGACCAAACGCGTGGGGTCCCAGCTGCCTCCTATCCTCTTTCGAATGTGTCTCCCTTCTCGCGTTTGTGATGCACCCACTACCCAAACCTTCGCGAACGCGGCTCCCTCCTCGCGAACGCATAGAACAAATCCTCACTTGCCACCAACTACCCTTCGCGAACACGGGGCTTCCTTCGCGAACGCGAAGAAGGAAACCAGAACTCGACACCAGAAGTTCTTCAGTAGTCTTCCAAGTCCAAAATTGATCTGTTGACCATCTGAAACTCACTCGAGGCCCCCAGGACCTCAATTAAACATACCATCAAGTCCCAAAATATCATACGAACTTAGTTGAGCCCTCAAATCACATCAAACAACCTAAAAAACACGAATCGCACATAGATTCAAGCCTAATGAACTTCTAACTTTTACATTCGATGCCGAAACCTATCAAATCACGTCCGATTGACCTCAAATATTGCACACAAGTCACAAATGACACCACAGACATACTCCAACTCTCGGAACCCCAATCCGAGCCCAGTAACCACAAAGTCCACTCTCCGTCAAACTTCTAAATTTCCAACGTTTCGCCAATTCAAGCCTAATTCCACTGCGGACCTCTAAATCACAATTCGGACACGCTCTTAAGTCCAAAATCACCCAATGGGGCTAACGGAACCATCGAAACTCCATTCCAGAGTCATTTATACATAAGTGTCTCAATTCATTCTGAAACCTCTCCGACCGGCAAGTCACATAACAACTGTAAAGCATAAAATGAGTAGTACATGGGGGAGCGGGGCTACAGCTCTCAAAACGACCGGCCGGGTCGTTATATCAATATTCATTTTGTTAAGTACAAGTGTTCAAATGGAAAATATAAGTTTATTTACCGGACTGGCAAGCTGGTACAAGTTTAAGTGGCCTGGAGGCCATTTTGCCTATTATGTAATGACAAAAGGAGCCACTTTATGTAAGAACGAGGGTGATGTGATATCGCAGTTCCCTTATTTTCTCTCTCTCATCTTGCGCTTCCTTACTAGTATTGAAAAAATCCTATTTTCTCTGTTAACCAAACATTTATATAATAATTTTTTCATATACTCCTACTTTTTTTTATAATAATATAAATTTATTCCTCATATTACTGGTCTGTAATATCATGAAACAATGACAGACAATACAATTTATTCAAATATTGTATTCATCAAACAATAGAGTACAATATAATACCATAACGATATGTGACAACCACTGTCATCCCATTATTTAGTAAGCTATAGCGCAGTATTTTATCGACTGAACTAGCTAGAAGTTATCACTTTGAGTCGAAACATTAAAAGTTAGAGGACTAAGATGCCATTTGTGTAAAAAATATGTCAGAATTTCATAACTTTTTAAAACCAAAAAGCGTTACACAATTTTTTTTAAATTTTTGCAAAAACTGAAAACTACTGTAAACAATGAAATTACTACTTTAAAATGGTGCTCATAATTTTCAAATGTGGAGAGTTTTTAAACAACACAAAAGAAAAAGAGAAACCTTTACTTTGTTATATGCGAATCTCAAAGAACAAAATTTATAGTGGTTATTGACATCAAAGATAAAATTGGAAACTAAAGAATAATAACTCTAAAAAAAGATAAATTAGGCAATATATACTCCTCCTGTCTCAATTACTTTACAATGTTTAATATTTTGTGTTGATCAAGGGTTATAAACTCTAAAAGAAAAATTGACGTAATTAGGAGTATGTACGTAATTACAACAAAAGTTTGGAGTAAGTTTGAGTATTTAAAATTTCAGTCCAAGCCTGAATTATTAACGGGCGGGCCTTTTCAGCTCCTATACCCGATATCCATCTAAACGTTAAACCCATAATTTTGCAGCTCCAAACTAAGAACCCGTTTGGATTGGCTTAAAAAAAAATGCTTTTAAACACAAGTGCTTAAAAGCAACTTTTAAGTATTGGAGCTTGTTTTATAAATAAGCAGTTACCTGTTTGGATAAAAGTGCTGAAACTTAAAAAAAGTTATTGAAGTGTTTGGTAAATAAGTGTTGATAAGCACTTTTTTCTGTTAAAAAGACTAAAATATTGCATAAAACAAATCAAGAACCTACATCTTCCTCTTGCTTATTATGGAACAATCTGCCAAACCTTGATTTCTATAAGCTGACCATGACCAAATATAAAACTTGCAAAAAGATTGTTACCATATTTTTTTAAAAATGTAAAGCCTTAAAACCATGTTTGGGAGTAGTTGGATGTTTTAGAATGAAGAACAAGGAAAGTTTGGGAGTAATTTGGGAACGAAGAACAGAAAGTGTCGAAGATGAAGGAGAAGAACAAACTTACCGTCGAAGATGGAGGAGAAGAAGAGGAAAGAAGATCAACAGAAAGTGGGAGTAGTGGGATGTTTTAGGATTTATTTGATGAGGGTAGTTTTGGGATTAGTAAAAGTTATAAGGGACAAGTAAGTAATTTTGTTGGTCAAAATAAGATGGCTTTTAAGCCAAAAATTGGCTTTTAGCTTTTTTTAAGCCTTTTTAAACTTTTTTTAAGCTGTTTTCTTTTTTGCCAAACACTCCAAATATCTAAAAATAACTTAAAAGCTGGTTTGACCAGCTTTTAAGCCAATCCAAACAGGCTCTAAAACCCTACTTTCTCCTTGTCCTCTCCACACAAAGTAACTCACTTCACACGTAAATTTTTTATTTTTGGTAATTCATGTTTATGTCTATTTATGTTATAGTTATGTATTATTATAATTTGATTGTGTTTGTGTGTGCTTAAGATTGACCCAATAAAATTAGTGGCCTAAAGCCAAAAAAACTATTATTACTATTTTTTCTTGCTTGTTGTTATAATATAATATTCTTAATGATATAAAGCCTTTAACATTACATAGTAATAATATTATTTATATCAGTAAAAGATAATTTGAATAAATATAAGTAGTTTAATTTAAGGTTTTACAATTTAATTCCTTTGATATTGTTGTAAAAAATGATATTTACCAATATGAAAATTTAAGTAGTTTAATTCAAGGTTCTAAAGTATTTTACTGTTAAATAATAGACAATCTCTTTTTCTTATTTTTAACAAATTTTTTATACTTTTTATTTTTCTGCAAACTTTAATATTGTTTAAGCTAAAATAAAATCATAATATTCAGAATTAAAAATTTTTGGGCCTCAAAATCTCGAGGGCCTAAATCAAAGTTTTACTAGCCTCGTTCTTGAGCCACCCATCCATTTTTGGTATTCTCAATTAAATTTTATAGAGTTCCAATTAATATAAGACAACAATGACAAGAACACTAAAGACAATGATTGTGCAATTCAGTTAACAAATGCGAATAAAGTTGGTTGAACAACATGTTCGTGCGGCAATGCTCTCAATGAAATTGGTGACTAAAATTAAATATATCAAAAGACCCTTCAACTTTTTCATAAAATCCATAGAATAATAAGACTCTAAGAAGGCCTATTGTGAGAGCGCAACGCATATGCATGATGTGTCGAATAGGCGCACGTCATGATATTGAATTTTCCTCTATAAAAAAATATGGTATTAAGTGAAAATGATAAAGGGGTGAGGGCATTACTCATCGAATTTTTTTTTTTTTACATGGGACACTTGCTTGAAAAATTTCTTAGTTAAAAAAAGAGACACAAAAGAACTTGCTTTTTGACGTATGAATGTGCCCAAATGAAAGCTAATTTAGAGAATCTGAGTTAAAATTAGAAAGTAAAATCGTGAGAAAACATGAAAAAAAGTATACATAGAAGAAAAGTAAAATTGATAAAAAGGTAGATATATTGTTTAATTTAATGAGAGAAAAGATTTATCATATTACTCCCTCCGTCCACTTTATCTGATTTCTTTGTCATTTTTTGTGGTCCAAAATATTTGATTTTTTCCAGATTTCAAGAGTGAATTAATTATTTTTTTTTCAAAATTGCCTTGAAGTAAATATTGTTGGAGTATGTGTTATACTTATTTTCCGATGCAATTGGATTCATCCATCTCAGATTAACGTTTCACTTAATAGTCCACGTACTACTTGTTATAAAATATGATGATCATTTCATCTCCTATAATTCATGTTAATTATTTTTGTAAAATAAAAAACTGGAGAGGAAATGTTGAAATTTTTTAGCTCCATTTTATAATTAGTTGACGTTTTAAAATTGAAATTACATGACAGTATGAGATTTCTTGCTGAAAATTTGAAATAGTCTTTGATGCTCACAAAGTTTTCAATGAGTTCTGCTGGTTGCTTCGGTCCGGGGAGTTGCTAACCATCACATTCCAAATCCCAAAATGACATTATGTCAAATATAAAATAAAAAAAATGTGAAAAGATAGTAAATGTCAATATAGTCAATTTGATTGCTAATTAAAGTTAAAAGATGAATTTCTTAATAAATTTGAAAATAATTAAAAAAAAAAGGGAGTAACTCATTTAAACCTATTTCTACCAAATTTTTAAAAATATAAAATTTGAATTTTTTTACTATTAACTAATATATAATTATAAATTATATATTTTTGGGGCCTTAAATATGAAGGGTTTCGCCTGGCTTACCCTAGAGCCGCCCTTACTGTGCTTGAGATTGACCTGATTATTTGATTCTGCAGCTTAATCCGTGTAAGAAACAAGATTGAAAATTATGGCGGAAGAATTGCAGTCAGTTAGAGAAGCTGGAAAAATGATAGCAAGGAAAAGAAAAAATATGGGGCACAATAAGAAAGGGAGTAAGGCAAAGAAGAAGCAAAAGGGTGTACCATTTAATGAAAGAAGGGTAAAAGTAGACAAGAAAATGAAGAAGCTTTTTGAGAAGAGAGCAAGAGATTATAACTCCGATAATGAGGATGATGAGAATGAGAATGATAATAATAATGATGATGATATTGATGTTGATATTCGGGAGCGTGTCCCTGTAAATCGAGGTAAATTCACATCATATGGTAAAAAAAAGGAGGATGATTTTGAAGAGGAATGGGTGGATGATGACGGAGGAGAGGATGGTAATGAGGAAATTGAAGTATCCGAAGATGAAAATGGAGAAATTCAGCCGGGGATTACTAGGTTTATAGATGGTTGTAGAGCATTCAGATTGGCATTCAAGAAGATATTGAAGAAGTCAGCTTCTGATGATATATTGGTGAGCAACTTGCTTTGTCCATAACTTTTTTGTTCATCTGCCTTGTTATAATTTCATGTTTCGGGGATAATATAATTGGTGTGCATTGTTCTTATGCCTTTTTAAGTTTCAGGCCTCAAAATAAAACAAAAAATTGGTTTGTTTTTATATTATGAGTGTTTGGATGTGGTTTTAGAGGAACTAGTTTTTTTGTGAGTGTTCGGATTTGGTCGAGGGACAAAACTGGATGTGTTTGGATGAGGAAACAAAGCAACTATGCTGGGAAAAAAAACATTTTGTTTCCAGAGAAAAAGACTTTTTCTAGGCCTTTTATAATACAATAGTTCGATTACTAGAACATAAGTCTATCGGAAACAATCTCTCTACTCCTCCAGAGTAGGGGTAACGTCTGCGTGCACACTAGCCTCCCCAGACCCCACTTGTGGAATTCCACTGGGCTATTGTTGTTGATTACTAGAAAATAAGCCGGATGCTGATGAACTCATAGGTTAAAACTTAAAAGCATTTGAAGCTCATACTAAATGAGGATAGGAATTGCTTGGAGAAACTAATGGTAAATAACCTGCAGGGCCCCGTCTTATCAGCACACAAGAAGCTTGTTGCGGAGAAGCTAGCTGAAGAAGAAGTAGAACGAAAGGTTAAGGGGGAAGCAAAAAAGGAGAAACACTTGGTATTTATATCTGGTTTTGTTTAATTGCTAAGTTTCTTGAGTAACTTAATCTCCAATGTTGAATGTATTAATGGTCGTATTCTTAACTTTGATGTCTGTGCCAAAGATAGGAGAAAAGGGACATGTTAAACCTGCAAATTATTTGGACTCCCGTGAAAAGTTTCTAATAGGAGTTGCAACAAAGGGAGGTACTCAACTTTATCTTCTTTTTTTGGAATTTATAATATTATTACAAATGCATTAATAAGCTCTTGATCAAACCTTCTAATTAACTTGGTTCTTTATTTTTGTATGGGCATCGTGGGACTATCAGTGGTCAAGTTATTCAATGCTGTAAGTTGCAGTACACATTTCGAAGTTGATACTTCTCTTTATAATAAGTTTTATGCTACTTTCAGCTAGCTCAGATGTAACTGCTTATGTGATACAGGTTAACAAAGCACAACATGCTCAAAAAGGCTTAAATCCCTCAAGGTCAAAAGATGAGAAAGGTAAGGACAGAATACCGACGTATTGATGATGTGCTTGGTTCTTTAATTTTTGAATGGTTGCTATTGTTCCTCTGTTGGTAATTCTAGTACAATTTACAAAGTAAGAGGAAGGGAAATATTATTCAGAAGATTTGATTTGTCTTTGTGTCCTTTGACCTCTAATCATCCTCTCCATCTTCCTCCATTAGAGAAGTTTAACATTTTCCTTGCTAAGTTGGTTAGTTGTATTTTCATTAACCATGTTTGGACAAGGGATAATCCCAAGGCTATGAATGGCATTTTCTTCTTCCAATCGCAGCATCCTGCATGTTGGACTGGTAATCTGATCTTAGTGCAAAACTTGGAGATTCTGTTGGAAAAATTATTTGGTATTCAGTGTCCGATATCAAATTCCTAATGTTGGTGCTCATGCTGTTCTTGAGTAGGATCTTTCAAATTCTTATTTCCAAGTGAACTAACTTGCATTGCGAGATCATAAGGGGATGTTCTATTGCTTTCGCTGAGTTACACTAAGTCCCAAATTTCCTATATAGGTGCTTTCAAAGACGTCTATAAATGTCTTGGGTCACTCCACCTATTACGTTAAGGTTTAGGTTGGATTTATTCTTTCACCGGGTATCGGAACTGATTTTCGACAAGCCCAGTCTCACACTCATAAGTCCATGTGTGAATCCTTTAATCAGATTACACGTGTCGGACTGTGTTGAGTTATATAAATGAACAATAGCAATCAACTCGTTTTTGGTTTTCACGCAGTTGAAGAGTGCTTATAGTACTTCGTGAAAAGGCGTTTAAACTACAGAGCAGATAGGAAAAGAACACATACTAGCTTAGTGAAATTCAATTTTCCTTCACTATCTGGCCATGATAATAAAGATTGAATGGTGAAATTTGTACCTCGCATTTATTCTAATTTTCCGTCTTACTTTCTTTTGTTTTTCACATGCACTAATGAAACATAACCATCAAGAATATTATCTCTTTTTCGTGCAATAAGGTATATAGCCTGCTACAGATTCTCATTTGTAATTTAGAACTATGGTAAAAAACATAGAGTAGTGCCCTAAATACCAATGTTATCCTAGTGTCACTCATTTTATCATATGCTGTTAGTATCGAGGGGAAGTGAACTCCGCACATGCCGTTTTACCGTTTCATGATAGAAGTAAGAAGCTTGTAATGGAATTAATTACCTTATTTTATCTTTTGATTACGGTAAATATTCTTTTTATGATGGGGAACTACCATTTTGTTCTTTATAATTGCTATTGATAACAAATTCTTGATAATTCAATTTGGAATAGTTCAGATAAGATTAACCTTAACTTTTATATTGTATCCCGTACAATAACTTCTATTTTTTGATGTGTAGTAATAAAGAAGCGACGAAGAGAAGTCTTTTTCTCCGAATTGGGCAAGACATCATCACAAACAGTTGTGGCTGGGTCAAAGGTCAACTCTCTCTCTCTCTCTCTCTCTCTCTCTCAACTAAGCATTATGATCATTTGGGAAAATTTCTTTAATTATTTTGTAACATCTTTTCATTTAGTATCCTGTCTTGGGCTACTGCATTTTTTTTTGTGTGTGTGTGCGGGG